TACAGAAAAGACCTGGACCATGGCTGGGCTCCAAAAGGCAGCTAAAGCACTCATGGTAGTGGATACCAGTTATTCTCTGCAAAAAGTTACCACAAACCACATACAAGCTTGTCAGTAAGGTTCTTTGCACACTTGATCATCATGCTTTTCTCTGTCAGGAATCTTTGACAAGGTGTGATGTTTTCTTCAGGTTAAAGACCAAGAAAACAAGTTGATTTTGCCAGCCGGGCCCTGTTACTCAGCCAAGGATGCTTTCTTGGACATGTACAGGACCTACTGGCAAAGGGCCCACACTTCTGAGCCAAACAGCAGCTTAGTTAAAGGGGATACAAGGTTTAGACATAAGCAAGCTGTTGGGAGCTCAACACAACAGTATTTATTAGCCTCCCTGAGAGAAATGTTGGATGTGCAGAAGAAACGCTCATTGTGAACAGGTGCTGAAGGATAGTACTTTAACAAAAATTGAGCCTTGGGAAATAGAAAATGTTTAAAACAATACTGAATACCAAGAATATGCCTATTGTTTTAAGAAGATACCTTAATTTTTTAACAAAAGGAAGGAGAGAGGAATAGGGTAAAGAAGAGCAAAGAAAGGAGAAACCCCTCCAAGAGCTTATATATTTTTGTAGCATATATTTAAATCATAAGTCTATTATGTCTTGGTTAGTCCCCCTGCAAAAAAAAGTGTAACAATAACTGTGTATGTCTTCTCACTGACCAAATAAATATCAACTTTGCAAACAACCAAGAGGCAATGTGGAAATAGAAATTCTCTCCTCATTTTTAAACTCCTGAGTCTTAAAAATGGTGAAGAAGAGTTTGTGAATATAAAAGTCATTTTAGAAAGACTCATGAAACCAGTCCAAGAAAACGATCTCCAAAGCTCACCTAAGATACAGAGTCAGAGTCTGAGGCATGCATTCCAATCCAACGTTCATAAATCCTGGACCCTCTTTGAAAATGGCCACTCAAGCTCAGTGCCATTCAATAGGGGACCACAGAGATTTTCGACAGCCCTCCAGGAACAATCTTGGGAACAGCCTTCAGAAGGTGGCTCCCATACTTTATTGCCAATGACACCTTGAAACATCTATATTCCATGATTAAGAAGCAAACTGCTTTTAGAAGGTTCAGTTATGATGAAGAAGGTAGAGAATGTGTGTATCCGGCAACCAGAACACACCATAAGTTATCACTGAGGGCTGGAGCAGCAGCTCCTCCAGGCAGGAGAGTAAGGAGGCCAGAACCACCAAGGACCCATGAGGCCAGGCAGCAAGCAGTACAGTTTACATCACGCACTCAGACAGGGGGCTTTTGGGAGGAGACTGGAGCGCAGGGGCTGACATGATGTGAGGAGGGGCTCTGGCTGGAAGAGGCAGGTCTATCCCCCTCCCTGGTTCTTCCCCTGTCTGTTCCTGGCCACCATGATGGGAGCAGCTTTCGTGCTTCCCACACCCTTTCTGCCTTGGACTGAAACCTCTGAAAACCAGGAGCTCAAGTAACTCTTTCCTCCCTTAGTCTGTAGGTGTCAGGTACCGTGTCTCGGCAATGAGAACGTGACCAAGGCATATAGCTGTGAAGGGGAAAGGCAAGAGCTACAGCTCTCTGAAAGGGGATCACAGCAGAGGGAAAGGCTCTTATTAAAACCTCTGCTGACTCATAAGCATGTCTGGTAGTGGCCAAATCCCCACATTATAGAGGCAACTACAATAAGCTAGCTGTGCCAGGAATACATAAAAATACTCTGACCAATAGAAGGAGAAAGAGGCTCTGGACATATACAAAAAGCTATTGGTGTCAACTTGGAAAACAGTATATAATCAATTTCTAAACAGTGACCATATTTATAGGCCCAGCATCAGTTCTACAAACCTCACTGTAAAATTATCCTTTTCCTAGATGCTTTCTACATTGATGCTAAGTATGTGAACAACCACACAGAAGTATACGCTTCAACCTTTAAAGCTAGTCCACCTACAAAAACACCTGAGATGACAGTCATGTGACTTTTAGTAATACAACTCCCTGAGCTCTGTTGGCTCACTGAAAAGTCAGGCTTCATACACATGGGAAAGCTCAAGTGAGTAGAGGAGACTCACTGACTTCTACTACAGCAATGTCTTTCTAGGATGAAGCTTCTAGAAGCCGAGGATAGTTACCCTTCCTTTAATTAATGTTTATGACTCTGACAGCATCCCTAATTCCCACTAAGCAAAGAGGAACCAATAAAAAGGCAATGAGTTATAAAAGGCTTACTAGCTCTAACGTCAAGTGCACGACAGGGCAAGGCCACAGCGGCATACCTGTCTAATCTAAGAGTGAATCACTGGACTTTCCTTGGTAAAATTGAGCTTTAATTCACTCCCACTCTCCATGGCCTTGAAAAACTAACAAACTCACTGTGCATCAATTTTCTCAAGTTGAGGAAAAAAGGGCGAATGCTCTATTTTTCTCTATTATCTATTATGTAAGTGTGTGATGTGACTACCAGGATGAAAGGGCTACTCAAGAAGAAAATAAAATGCAAAATATGCCCTACTGTGGTATCTGGCATGCTGCAGATAATCAGTCTTTAGTGTTGATTACACGAATAAAGAAGGCTCCTTATATGGGACAGAGGAGATCCTTCTGGCATCATCATCACCAAGGATCTTTAAATGCTTCCAAGAGGTTGCTGAGTGTGTGTAGTGCAAAGAGTAAGGGAACCACAAACTGTGGATATCTGTACGTCATCTGCTGTGCTTAAGGGAGTCTTGACAGGGACTATCCACTACTGAGAGTCAGACGATAAACACCATATTAAGGCCTTGTAGCTGTAGAAATCATGAAAAACAGCTTTTTGTTGGCCAAATAGGCCACTGCTGTTGGATGCTGGAAGGAGCGCACTTGGGGAAACTGGAACTCAGGTTCTAGGCCACAGACTTCTAAATGCTTTTCAGCAGCCACTTGCATTTGTAATGTAGCAGATCACCAGTCTCATCAAAGTTGACACAGTATTGTGCTCCATCATAATCTACAATCCCATCTGCAAAGGAACTGATCCATTTATTCCTTCACTTTAAACTTAGTGGTATATCATCAAGATAAATGTACTTGGCTTTCCATGGACTGGCTGTGTTGTCCTCAGTTTGTATGTTGAAATTCTGATGCCCGATGTAATAGTATTAGGAGGAGAAGCTTCTGGAAGCAGACCTTCTGAATGGAATCTGTGGCCTTATCCAGGAGTCCCAGAGAGCCGCCTTGTTCCTTCCACCATGTGCGGGCACAGGGTGAAGGTGCTGTCTGTGAGAAAGTGGGCTCTCACCACGCACAGAATCTGTTGGTGCCTTGATCTTGCACCACCCCCCTTCCAGAACCGTGAGAAACAGATTCCTGTTGTTTCTAAGCTACCCAGTCTCTGGCATTTGTGACAGCAGGGCAGTTGGACTAAGGCTTGGCTCTGTACTCTCTGTGTCCAGTGAGAAGAGAGAGGCAGGTCGCCACACCATTAGCATATAATATGGCAATTTGTGGGAAACTCAGACACTGAATACAGAAAGAGTAGTCAAAAACCTTGAGAGAACAAAATAAGGCTACACAGCCCTACATTTGGGCAAAATAGGGTACATTCTAGTCCCAGACAGGCTTTTGGTAAAAACAAAGATGAGAAGGAAAAAACTGCATGTGCTTGAATAATGGTGAGAAGGTGTCTGCAGCTAAAGTTTATGAGTCTATTAGAAGTGCACGACAGAGTAGGAGAGGTGGGTCTGTCATGCTGTCTACAACCCTGAAGTAGTTTGGGCTCGGGCAACTTAACTTAATCAGCAGGAAGACAAGCACAACTGTTTAGTATAAGGAAGGTTTAGGAGGTTATCTTATCAGACTGGGCAAATGCAGAGAGGACTCAGTTTAAGCACGCCAGCAATATTAAAGAGGTGGGACAAGGAGCAAAGGAACAAGGCAAAGAAGAGTTCACAGGAAAGCTTCCTACCTTCCACGACTACTGCTTGGAAGGTTCAAGGAGAAAGAACAAGAGTACGAGATCATGTCTTCAGCTGGGAACATTTTGCATGCTGGGCTCTTTCCTCAATCACAAAATGAGGATAAGCAAAAAGTAATCAAATTGGAATTGGAGTTGTTAGGAGGATTAAATAACAAATTAAAAAAACTAGTACTTTTTGTGACTAGAAATGTACAATTATGAATCCAAGGGAAATCTGGGGCAAAAGAGAAACATTTGGTAGTTATTGGCACATGGGTTATGACTGGAAGGATATAAGCTCCATCATCTAGAGAAATGTGCAGTACCTTGTAATTTGGGTTGAAAACTCTAGTGGACCCAATACATAGAGCAGGAGGCATTAAGATGGAGGACAGTGAGACAACCTGGCAGTGAGACAAGGATTGACTCAAACAGATGCGAATCTTGAGAAAATGACGTCATAGTAAAATTAAGCAATAAATAGCCAAAAGTACCAAGTCTGCCCAGAGGCCAGCAGGGTGGAAGGCAGACTGAGCAGATTTAGCACCCGGGAGGTCATGAACACTCTCAACAAAAGCAATTACAGTGGAGAAGGCAAGAACACAGTTCACTTAGGAATGTTACATTTCCGAGACATATTTGACAGGAGATAACCCTTTAACTGGGAAATTCACTCTATAGGGATGAAACACTGAGACTTTTCTCTCTCCTAGGAACTACAAATAAAATTTTTCTTCTCATTTAATCTGGACAACGAAGGGACTTGGAAACCAGACAGAGAGCAAATTACTACCACTGGGATTCACTGCTGCATTTTTCTCATAAAGGAAAGAACGCTGAGTTGTTTGGGAAAAGTGAAGGGACAGTGGAAACAAAATACAAAATGGCACAAACACGGAGGACTTTCTGTAGTAATAAGAGAAGTTGTGCTAGCCTAGTGCTGCCAGGAAAACAGAGATGAGTGCCTTGGAGACTACACCCACCTGCCAGGGCCATTAACGACATGTTTGCGAGCACTTTATGACATAACCACTCTTACCTTCCTTTTGATATCAGTGAACTGGGAAAACATTAAGGACCAATAAAATGACAGCTCCAGGATGTAATAGTAGTGAAGGTCAGTGGTGAGAGGCTGAGGATGTAAGGGAAAAAAAGAACCATTAATAGTTAATAAGGAACCCAATTTACATACCAAACATCTCAAACGCAGTGCTGAAAAGTAGCACAATACTCTGCTGTACCAATGTAGTTCCTGCACCATTCTTTGTACAGATAATGGAGCGTTCAAGGATGCCTCTAATTCACAGCTTGGCAGCATTCTTTTCATTTCCATCTCAAACCCACAAAGCATTAATCAGCTTGAACATTTAGGATCCAATTCATTATCCAGTGTAACAGTAGCATTTATGGTTGTTTGACATGAGTATCTGCAGAATTCCTTACCCAACCTGAAAACATTTCTGTTGCATGCACAGTAAGTATAACCCTGGACAACTGCTGAAAATACAGGGATGAGGAAGGCAGTAATAAAACTGGAGCACTATATGGGTCACTGAGGTACAAATTAGAAAGCCTTCTTGTCATAAGAAATGTTCAGTACATTGCAAATATAAAAAGAACTACTCTAAATTATTTATTAAAAGATCAGAGGGACACAAAAGCTGTGAAGACATAGCAGACTAGGCACCTAGCCAGGAAATTTGGGATCAAGGCCCAGCTCCACAGCTTTGTAGGTATAAAACTGGCCCTTCATTTACTAACTCTAACTTCCTCAGTAGTTCAGAGAGACAAGACTATTTATTTTCCACATCAATCCATAAAAACAAAAGAGGAGAGGAATGGATAAAAAAATGTGATGTTTATATACAGTGGAGTACTATTCTGCCACAGAGAAGGACAAACTTGAGTCAATTGTAGGAAAATGGATACACCCTGAAACCACGATGCTAAGTGAAATAAATTAGACACAAAAGCTTAAATAGCACATAGTTTCTCTTATATGAGAAGCCCAAAGTATAAGTAAATAAGTTAAAAAATAACAGATAATAAGAAGATCGATCTTTTGCAAAAGGGAAGGGGACCGAGAGATGGAGGGCAGGCGGCAGGAGGTGAAAAAAGAATGAAGATGTGTTATGCACACGTACCAACTCCCCACAAGGAATGTGATTACCATGGACGACTGCAAATAGATATTAATAAAAAAGATTTTCAAAATACCAAAATAGCTTTTAAATATATTTGATGAGTTATTTTTAACTACTGTATTACATTACAACAAAAATGTCTTAGTTTACCAGAATGAATAAAAAAAACTTTGGGGCTGGGGATTTAGCTCAGCGGCAAAGCGCCTGCCTGGCAAGCGCAAGGTCGTGAGTTCGGTTCCTGGAACCAGAGAAAAACCAAAAAAAAAACCAAACAAACAAACAAAAAAAACAAACAAAAAAAACTTCGAGGGTCTCCATGCAAACACGCCCGTACCTCTGTGCACATGGTATGTTATAAACAGTAGCTACAACTCTGACGCTATGTCCTGATACCAACAGCAGTATCATGAATGCAAAGCTGGCAATCACTTAACTAGCTACTCTAAGCGCAAGCGTTAAGGAAGACAACTGCCCCACTCAGATTTTTTACAACAGAGTGAATGATGGGGTAGGACACTAACCAGCAGTCATAAGCTCTGTGTGATAATGAACATTACTTTGACCCGACCAAAATTCATATGTTGAAGCCCGATGTCCAGTGCGATGAAATTTGGAGGTGAGGTCTTTGGGAAGTAATTAGGCCCTGAGAGTGGAGATCTCATGTGTAGGGCATGATTTCTCCTTTTGGCAGCCTGCATTAAGCTCTCAGCCTAGTGTCAGTGTTCTCGCCAATCTCAGCATCACCCTGGAGAGAAGATATTCCCCTCTGCACTGCCCTTTTAAAACCTGAAGGCATTAGTAACAAAGGACAGGTATTCAGGGCAGATGCTGGCAATGATAAAGTCTAGGCACAGAGCCTGGGCTTCAACACCCTTTGAGCAAAGGTCGAGTTGAGACTGTCCTATGGCCAGTATTATAGCCTGGGGAAATGTCCCAGAGGAGTTAAGAAGACAACGTAGAGCACACTACAAACTGCAGTTTACAGGAGCGCATCTTATTCTAATCAGCGCATTCACAGATTACTCTGCAATTGACAGAGCTTACTCACGTCTTAACTTCTTTGATTCTCGTAAAAACTCTATAAAATCAGTACTTTCACTCGAGATCTAGATTACACAGTTGACAGGAAGTTGCTAGTAGTTAATTCAGCTAGCGAGGCCCACGGCAACACGTTAGGGCTCCTCCTGCCCAACTTGTGCTCTGTGCCACGGGCTGCGCAAGGACCAACTGAGTGCAACCTTATGTTATTTTAATCTTAAAATGCAAGATGTATATAACACCATTACATAGGCAACAAATGCAATGTCCATGCTAGGGAACAGAGGGTCTACTACTTTCTTAAGCTAAAGATCTGTTCAGTTATTTGTGTGAGTTATATGCTGAGGATGCAATAAACATGTTTCATGCGCATTTCAAAGAGTTTGTAAGGCTTGGGATTGATTCTGAACTGCAATCCACTGTATAGGTTCACGTGGACAAGATTACGTGCCAGGTGCTGCAACTACATATACAGTAATTACATGCTTCTTAACTCCCCTCTGCAGGCAGGAAGCCATTATTTTTTTGGTAATATGTGGCATTTGTCCAGGATGACCACTGTTCTCACAAGAGACCATGAAGTTGCTCTAGATTTTGACCACTTTATGCTTTATTATTCAGCATTCAGTGATGATAACATCAGTGAAAGACGATCTCTATCTAAGTCCCTGCATACTGTATCTTTCCTTCCAAACTGATGATATTTGCTACTTTTAAACATAATTGTATCTGCCAGACCCTCAAACTTTCATGTTCAATCCATGGTGCTGCCTGTGAAATGGTCCAGAGCATACTTTGGTCCATGGCATTAGCAAATTTTTTCCTCAGAAATAAGCAATTTCTCAGCTCCAGTTGTAAATGTTAAAGTTATTGGGACTATATTATGTTTAAGAAGAACAATAGCAATTACATTTCACATAGCATCTGTCTCAGTGTCTTTCATGTTGCAGAATTCAGCTCATAAATGCAGTACATTATAGCAGCTGCCACGCCTACACTCAAGTTAGAGTCTCTGGAAGCTTTTAATATCCCTTATAAATAGAAATTAAGAGATATATGGATTGCACTACTCCGTATACCATTACAGAATTCAGAGAGCCTTAAATGACAATGTTCCGAGTATTTACGGGAGTGAAATAGCAGGTGGGCTTGAGAATCACAACTATATAAAATAAATGATTGGTTTCAACCTTGCTTCATTCCCTGCCAGACACCCCCAGAACACTTAGTTGTCTCTACCCATGTCATGTTGCTTATTTACATTTTTTCCTAATCTGAATAAATCATTTTGATGGAAATAGAGTTCCATTTCAATGTGTCTTCAGCCTTGAACTTGCCCAAGGAGGACCCAATGCCAGACCCTAACTTCAGAGGCAACTGTGTGTGAAATAGAGACAATATAGAGCGTGTTGCTTCCATGAAGTGCTCATCAGAGAGCCCAAACGCATCTGGAAAGATAACCCCAAACTCAAAATATCCAAATTGACTATTCTAATGCATGTCTTCTCCACTTTGTCACCAAAACACCTAGTTGTGTTTGCTTCTCCCCATATCATAGCCCAACTGAACTAGACTTTCTCAGCTAGAAATTCAAGAAAAACCCCAGCTCCAATCCATATATATTCATGGATAGGTGCAAAGGCATACCTACGGTCAAGGACCTAAAATCTTCCTTTTTAAGGATACGATTTCATCTCATTTTCAGTGGTTCCATTCATGTGTAATGGTTTCTTTCTGCACTGAAGGAAATGGAGCTTGATTTACATATTTAAAGGCTGCTCCTAAGCTATAAGGGAATCAAACTCAGCATGCCCTCTCCAGCTCAACCCCTGAGTTCCCCCACTTGCTGTGGGGCAGGTCTGTGCTGCCACCGAACCTGGGGACTTCCCTCAGGAAGTAGAAGCAGGTTGGCTGCTGTGAACAAGAAGCATACACCTGTTGAATTGATTGCATCCTATTTTCCAGCAAATGTACTCTCCAAGTTTCTTTTCTCTATTAAGACATCATGCTTTGATTTTGAACTTAACTAAGAACACATCAACTATTGTCCCCACTAGGTTATGTCCAGAATCTATGAAAAGGCAAGTGGCTGTTACAACCTGTTGGGCCCTTCCTGAAACCATGTCCTTGATGTAAGAAAGCTACTTTACACTGTAAAAACCCAGAAGAGAAGGATTTCTCACCTGATAGGGGTAGTTGTACCAGCAGTGTCTTGTATTCCATAGCCAGGGGGTCTGAAAAAAAGAACAAAGAATATGTTTTACATGTTTTGGAACATTAATAATATGATAAGAGATGTTTATGACAGGCCGTTGGGATTTCAATAATTTACCTGTGTGAGAATTGAAGGACTGAAAATAACTAGATATAGGACATTAAGCAACTAGTATCTCTCCGAGTAATACTATAAATGCTAATCTTCTAAGCACACTGGACTGAATGTGTCCAAAGGGGCATTACCCATACCTTGACCAGGGTTCAGAAGGTGTGCTTCTGATTTCTCTAGGACAGCTCAGACTAGCCCTCAACAACACACTCCTCCTGTGGTTAAGGGCTTTTACGACAGAACAATCATTTCTAATTTAATGGCAATTACTTACCTTCCACAATTGTATAATAAGAACATCTAAGTGTATACCACAGAGATTCCAAACATTTGTAATAACCAGAGATGGCTTGGTATGAATTTAAACAGACAGCAGGACCATCCAGTAATATAAGTACTAACTTTCTTGTATTTTCATATTAATTTTATCATTCTTTTGCATTCTTCATCGAGAGCCCCCAGAACTTTCTGGTATACACATATATTTAATATACATCTGCATATTTCTTATATATAACCTTCTAACATCCACATCAGCCCTGTACCACAGGAATTAGGATGACTATTAGTTCTAAGGAGTTGACATTTGCTGAGTTCTCCCGATGTCTGATACACTTTTAAAGGATCTTTTACTTTTACAGGTTTAACCCACTTCATTCTTACAATAAAAAGAAGTACTTGTCTTAGTATCTAGATAAGTATATGCAGCCTACTGGTTTGCAAATAACTTGCCAAGTTAAACAGCTCAGCAATGCTGCGATTGCAAATCAAATGCAGACTGTGAGCCCCCCCACCGCTGAAATGCAGCCACTGCACGCCCTGTGTGGAGTCTGGTACAACTGGACTGCACCTTCACACAGGGAGCCAGACAGAAGGGAAAAGCCATCCAGTGCCCTAAAGCTAAAAATGTTCAGGATATCCACATCTCCTCTTCCCTCAAGCACTGCCTGTTTTCTCCCTTTTTGAGATCCCCACCCCCCAGCTCTGGTCCTGAGTTTTGCCACTAGCTATCGGTTCAACCCTGCCTGGACCATGTAACCTTGCTGCACTTAACTTTCTGAGTTTCTGAATTATCTGCCTGTCTCCTCCATTTCTCTCATCTGTACCACTCATGTTCATTACTGACCTCAGCGAATATAAGGATCCACTGAGATAGGGCACATCACGATACTTTGGAAGCCTGAGAAGTTTAATATATTACAGTATTTTTGTAGTCATATACACCATATAAGCCCATTGAAGGAGATACAGATAATAAATAATTTAAATTCTCATCAACATGAGCATTTTGATGTATAGCTATTTTTAGCCTTTCCCCTATGTGATATAGACATAAACATAGGTCAGTCTATCTATCTATCTATCTATCTATCTATCTATCTATCTATCTATCTATCTCTCCTCAAGTGATACTGGGGGTTGAACCCAGAGTCTTTGCACTGAGCTAAATCTCCATCCCCCCCTTTTAGTTTTTTTATTAATATATATTTGCATACATAGTAATTATATTTATCCTGGGGAATTAGAACATATAGATAGCCCATCTTAAATCATTTTTACTTTCCCTTTCCCTCACTCCCCTTAAAACTTTTTTTAAGACATGGTGTTATTAAATTGCCCAGGCTTGGCTCAAACATGTGATCCTCCTGCCTCAGCCTCCAAGAGTGCTAGGGTTACAGATATTAGATTTATTTTTAATTACACATATATGCCTGTCTTTAAACTGTGGGCACAGCACACCAAAATTGATTTTAAAGTATAAAAAAATGCTAGTTAATACTTTTCTCTCTGATAAAGTTGTTTATCTCCACTATTAACTGTAAACCACTAAGGGAAAGTATTTACATGCACAGTTACCCCCTGCATGAATGTGCAGGTTAACAGTTCAGCACTCACGTCCTGACTGCTAATGAAAAGGAGAAGACAGAATTAAAGATGAGACCTAGAACAAGCCTAGCAGTTTTCACCTAATGCATCAGTCTCAAGCCCACAATGGCATGAGTGTGCTTGCCACTAAAGATGCAGCGGGAATCTCCACAGTGGCTATCCCTTCCAGTCACAGGCAGGACAGCCAAGGTGCCATGCCCAAAGACCCAGAGAGATCCGTAATTCAGAGCTTCCCTCGCCTGTGAGCTTCTTGGCTACTGGTTTCCTTCTGAAACCCCAGCTTCACTCTGAACACCTCAGATGCACATCAGCCAGACCTACGACCTCTGTGTGCCTGCACCAATGGTCTCTCACTAAGCTCCTGCGGCGTGAAGCGAGGAGAAAGCGTTGGCACTGTGAATCTGGTAGAGCTGCCAGGGGCCCAGCTTAGACGAAAAGCTTGGTTGCCAAACATTTTAATGGTAAGTTGCTTTACTAACGTGCCTGTGCATATCCCTCTCTCTGACGTGTCCAGATATTAATACAAACTTCTAAGTACCATACATTTTTCTAGGATCTCTTCCCCCGCAAACATGTGATCCTCCTTGTGAGATATCCTTCCTAATGTACAGATGTCTATGAGGAGGTTATTCTCCAGTTTTGTTATCAAATTCAGCAGCTCTCTAATCTGACAATTAAAACTCTAAAGTGCTACAAAGTTCAAAACTTGACGTGCACACCTGTAGTCCTAGCACTCAGGAGCCTGAGCCAGGAGGATTGCTGTGAGTTCAAGGCCAGCCTACACTGTATAGCAAGAAAAATCCAAAATTTAAAAAGTGTTCAGCCAATAAAATCTATGAAAATATTCCAAAATTTAAAAAACAATTTGAAGTACTTCTGGTTACAACATTTTGGATAAGGGATATTCAACATTCAACACGTAGTTCAGCACTGATAGTTCACTCTTCAATTTACACAGTAACACAGTACATATAACTGCTTGCATCTGAATCGATTCCATGAAGTTCATCTATCAATTTTTTCATTGATAAAAATTTTCCTTTTCTCTAGTTATCTTTTTAAGAATCATTTCCACATTTTCTTGGTGTCAAAATCTATATATTCCATCCTACCAATTAAAGGATAATAGAGGAATTAAGAACATAAAATGGTGAAATATTTTAACACTATACCATAGTGATAGTGATTAAAAACACATGGAAAACCCTCCATTTAGGAGGGTGGATATAGTGTTCTCATAATGATAATAAAATCTTTGTACTTGAAAAGTGAATGGCAATTCAAGCACATTTACCAGAAACAGAATGTTTTTGCACATGGCATTCCAGTATAAAGAAATGTTACCGAGGCTGGAAAGTAAAACCTCAAGATTCTCAATTTCTTGTTTTGATAACTTATGAGATATTTTATTTGTCCTTGCTTCTGTACACTTGTATAATATTATAAAGCACTTTACAGAAGTATATATATATATATATATGTATATAAAATCTCACTCAGTTCTCATAATTTATAACTAGCTATCAGATGCCTTAAGAGATTAACAAAGAACAACTCAGCCCACAGCTTGGCAACATGTTAAGATACAGGCTGTGATTTGGTGTCTCTGGCCCAGGAGGAGAAATTATGTTTCTAAGGTCCCCTCACGATACTGATCCCATTAGACTGTAGACCATATTCTGCCACTAGTAAGGTGTCAGGGCAAAGTAATATGGGTAATTCCATCCTTCTTATACTCGCCACGTGCAAGGTACGTTGGTAAACATTTTATGATATTTCACAATGCAGTGTAAATCAATGATTTCTAATCTTTATAGTAATCATCAGAGTCAGGGCTAGTAAAATAATAGCTAGAGACAATGCTTCTCATCCAAATCTCGCTATCTGATATAATTTTACACTTACTTACTGGTAGAAAGGAAGTGAGCAGAATTTACATGTGACACTTTTGGAATGCTGCCTCTAAGTAAATGTGAGAGTTTATCTCATTCCTTCTACCTTCAGCTCTGAGATGGAAGTTTCTGCTGAGTAAAGGGCTCCCCTGTCAGGGCTCCCCTGTCAGCCCTGGTCTGCTTACTTCTGGATTGTATGTATAAGACAAATAAATTCCTATCATTTCACCCATATTTAAGCTAATAAATATATAATAGCATAGCCTACATTCTAATAAATACAACAAGGTAAATATCAGTTGTTTTATAGGCAAAGAAACAGTCTCATAGAAATAATATATTGAAAGGGACCCAGGTGGTAAGTAGAGCAGATGGGATTCGACCCCAGGCCATCCAGGCTCTTGCATTATTACCTTCCCCTGGAGTACAAAAAATGAGTAATGAAAGAAAAACATCATGGGCATTTGAAATTGATTCCCTATTTCCAGGTAATGAGTCATTACCTGAAAACATTGTGTACTAGGTTAAGAAAAGACCTCAAGATCCAGTTTAATCTACAGAACAATCCACACAATCCACATGTCCAGATGGGTAACCAGGTCTCTTACTGTTAAAGAGCTCATGTTTACTTCCTGCATTATTTTCTTGGTTAATAGCTACTGTATCAATTTTCTTTCTCTCTCTCTCTCTCTCTCTCTCTCTCTCTCTCTCTCTCTCTCTCTCTCTCTGCATCTGCTATGGACTGAACTGTGTTCCTCTAAATTCATATGTTCATATGGCTCCAACATGGCTGTTTTTGACAGTCCATGAGAAAGTAATTAAGGTTAAGTAAGGTCATCGTGGTGAACCCCTAAATCAATAGGGTTGGTCACGCTATAAGAAGAAAATAATGTTTGTAGAAGACTAGATTTAGCCAGTAAACCAGGTGGGTGTTAAATGGTTAAATAGAGACAGAGATATGGGTACATATACATCATAGATGTTATTTTTATCAAGACAGTAGGTACTTGTGGCTGAATGAATATTTTCTTTGCATTAATCATTATTTTGATTTAACAAAAGAACGTGAATCATAGAAGTTATTGCAGGCTTTTTTTTTTTCATCATCAGAGATGTGAAAAGTGTGTGA